GATTTGGGCATATGGATGTGATCAAGACAGCAGTCTGATCAAATATGAAAAGTTTCAGGCAGATTGGAGCAGGTACAGGGTAGTTACACAGTACTTCCTCTTTATTTGGCGAACGATCAAAAGTCAGAGGGCCGCCGTGGCCACGCCCTTTGACCTTTGCAGATGATTTTGACAACATTTTACCTTCAAGGCGTATTCTACATGCTACCCAGCGCTCTGTGACTTACCCCCTAGGAGGAGTTAGCTCAGGGGGGAGGATGCAAGCCGTCCGTCCGTCCATCATGGGAAATATGAGGTCTCTCCCTAACGGGCTGGAACAGCTAACAGCACTGACCTGGGTGCAGTGGGAGTATCGGGAGTGCAGCCTTGTGTTGTTCACTCATTCATGGCTGAACGAACTCACTCCGGACTCGCTCGTAACTTTGAACGGAATTCACCTGGTCTCTCCTCCTCACCTGCACTGCGTCAGTAATTAAGCACTTGTTCTTGATCCACTCATCGCCATCCACATTATAAAGCACTTCGTCTTCAGTGACATTTTGCCAGATTGTGTGCAAACCATTTTTCCACAACCATAACTCCCTCTCTATACCACACTTTAGGGAGAAAGGATTTCTACTTCCACGATTCCCTGCCCAAGCCCTGTCTGCTTCTCAGGACTTCTGGTTTGTAATAAACCTCTTTATTTTAACATCAGCTTCAGTGTCTGCTTTTGGGCCCAACTTATAGCCACTGTGGCACTTTGTTATCATCACAACAGGAAAACACCCAAATCTACAGTGTTTCTCAGAGGACAGTTGTTCTATTTAATCTACCCAAGGGGACCAGTTCATGAATCAAGTCGTTTTCTTTTTCAGATTGTTATTTTAGCCTCAAGAAAACATGAAGCATTAGGTAGGATAACAAAAATAATGCTTTTGAGATGACATGATGAAGAAAAAACAACTGTGCCCTTATGTATCCAGTCTGTGGACATTTTGGGCTTAGAGCCTGAGAGTCGGAGCCAGTGTGGGGAAATCAGAAGGTATTTTTAGGTTTGGCCTTTTCACTGCATTTACTCAATGACACTTGATAGAAACATGTATTTGTTCTTGCTGTGGATTAACACACATTTGGTGCTCTGGCTAGAGAGTGTCCTCTCACAAAAACTGAGCCCAGGGACAGGTAATTTATACAGCAAATTGTTGCCATCCATAATAAAAGTGTCCCCTAACGGGCATGTGAGTACCTATGACATGAGCAAAGGAGGAGGCGAGCTGAAGTAGTCATAGAGCCATAAAGTGTGGGGAGTAGGTCGAGGTGAATAAAAGGGTTGATGGAACATTGTACTTTAAAAAGGGAGACCACTTATCATTTCCTGTTTCAAACTGACAGTCTTTTAATCATGACCGGTAAATGGACTGCCCTTATATAGCGCTTTTCTACCTCAAAGCATTTTACAATGTGTTCTCATTCACCCATTCATACGCCAATGGTGACAGAGCTGCCATGCAAGGTGCTGCCTGCCATTGGGAGCAACTTCGGGTTCAGTGTCTTGCCCAAGGACACCTCGACTGTGGAGGGGCAGGGGATCGAACCACCAACCTTAAGATCAGAGGACAACTGCTCTACCACCTGAGCCACAGCCGCCATAATATTCCACTTGCCAGCAATGTAAAACCAGAAATATGAGTAATGAATTTAATTGTTAGAAATGTACTGTATGGCTCCCAAGCACTCAGAAACTGCTGGATGCTAACTGGCATATGTTGGTCAACTGGCATGATATGCATTTATAAGCATAATGACCTAGACGGACAACATTTCAGAAGCTGCCTGGCCTCTATGAACAATTCTAGAGGGGTTTTGAAGGTTATTAAAAAATGTTGCATCTACTTGTGAAATGTTGAAAAGTAAAAATGGTTTGTTAGTTGGAAAATGGACCTAATTTAGGACCTAATTTCAAAGTTGGCCATTAAGAAGTTTCCGTCAATTTATACGTTTTAGATGATGTTAAATTGATTGGATAAGTACCTGTATGGATCTTTAGGGTGGAGGGTATGTTGGCTAAATGTTTGTTAATCCAGCCTTCCAGATGGTTTTCATCTACATGGATAGCAACTGAAAAAATACAGAACAATAGGTACAGAACAAGAAACATTAATAGCACAATCCAGAAAGCCTTGAAAGATCTCATTTGCAGCCAATGCTCTAACAGGTGCCACAGGCAAACAATAGTGAGGATGATTATGACTTACAAGGCAGAAAAAGTCATGTATCGATATATCATAGACATTTCTGCCTTTTATATCATTTGTTTTGTTAGGTCATTTGTTTCCTGCAGGGATTATGACGTTGTTCAGCAAAGGTAAAGTATGGATATCCAGCACTGACCTTCAAACCACAATCATGTTGAAGCTCGTTTTCTGCAGCACACTTCAGCACTGTGTTATGTAGCAAGACGAGAGGCAGTCATAATCATATTCTGCCTCTCTTTAAAGATTTTCTATAAAGTCTAACTGAACATGCAGCCCGGCTGTAGGAATTCAGTAAAGGTCAAAACACAACTGCGGTGGGGACTGAGCTGAACAAATGTCTGTACAGATGTGCTATTAGCATTAAGGCATTTGGTATGCCTCCCTTCTGTTGGTAAAAGTTGTTAAGGTGACATAATGTAGCACTGTAGTGTACAGAATGTATGGCATGCCAGAAACTCATAGACTGGTATACATGCACATCCCAAAGGCAGAAGTTATAAACGTATAGTGGCATATGCCCTTCAGCAACTGTTACCAAATGAAAAAAAACATATGCATAATAAGCCACTGCTACACCCATCTAGCTCAGAGGTGGCCACATGTGCATTATAATACCATTAATAACCATTCACCTCCCAAAGTGCTGACAGCACGTGGCATTTTGTATTCAATATGAATCATTCATTGGTAGAATGTTGTAAATACATGATATTTATATGTATTTATGCAAGAGCGAAAGGTTTCATTTACAGTAGAGTTTGTAAACAGGCACATGTTGGCACCTTTAGACGATTTGTTCCTTTAGCTGACAGATGGTGGTTGTCAGACCGGTCACTAAAGCACAAATATGCAACAAAAACAGCAATAAATAAATGAACATTGTTCCTTATTATCAGACAGTGGTCATGTCTGAATCTCTGCTGGTCATAGATTTGTATTTTAATAACAAAGGGGAGAATTTTAGTTTGACAAATTTAAAAAAAATTTTTTATGTCATTTATTGGCTTTTTTTCCTTTAACCTTTCAGCTTGTTTTCATGATGTTCACTTAGCCCTCTCTTCCCAAAACTGCCTTTGCATACAAATAAGCTGATGGATAATTAAGCACTCCATTGATTCTTGACTGTGTGCTAGCTAACACACTAAAAGTGCAGTACATAATGCACACATCTATCTGTCTCTCTCTAGAAATTCTTCTAAATAAGGGGAATTACACTGCCTTTCCAGCTTTAAGATGTAACCAAAGAGCTCGTCTTCTCTGATTCATTGCCTTCTTTTTTTTTTTAGAGGGGCACAATGCCAAATGTTGTACACAATGAGGTTGCAGCACTGTGAACTACATAATCAACCAGTGTGGGAGCAACATTAAAGTGGCTTCCCTCCATTGTATTGCCACATACATTGAAGAAAGTAATGAAGGAACCATTTCCTTAAATTTTGTTACTTGATTATCAGACTGTAACAGAACTTTTTCAATGCTGAGCCATAATGCATATATGTAAATCCCACAGGTTCAAAACTGAGACGGCTCTGGTTTTCACAGATCATTTAAGATTGTATTCATCAAATATGCTGATTGGAAATCACAGGGGTTTTTTTCCACAGTTTTTGCTTTGGGGACTGTATTTTCAATACATTCATTTGTTTTTGATGCAATCATTGAAAGGGTGATTGAACTTTGAATTGTTTGACTTGTAAGTGTTATTCCACAGGGGTGTAAAAGATAAAGATAAAGATAACTTTATTGATCCCACAGTGGGGAAAGTTCACTGTTACAACAGCTCCAAAAAAGTGTAGAGTCAGTGCAAGAATAATAGGGAACACCCAGTGCAAATTGTAGGAAAGAAACAGAAACAGAAACAGAAACAGAAAACAGAAAAACAGAAACAGAAAACACACAGTGCAAAAATTGCAAGAGAAAAAAAACATTATATACAGAAGATGTTTTTTTTTAAAGAAGACTATATACACAAGGATGAGGTACACAGTTCTGTTGTATACTGTATGCTATTTATATAGTTTGCGAGACACAAACATCACCTGCACAATATTTTTTAAAGCTATTCTACAGTTTTATATGTAAATGTAAATATTTTTGAAGAACCTACAACCTCATCTTCACAATAATACATTTTCCCACCCCCAGAAAATCATACAATTTTTGCATCAAGGCATTCTGTCAAATAGAAAAAAAATCATTTCTTTTTGCCTTCCTACCCATTCCACAAGGGACACATCTTCATGTCAGATTTTGACTTCTCCTCCAAATCAGAGTGACAGGATTCAGATTGAAATCTAGTCTAGTCTAATCTCTCAGTTTGGCAAATGCTTTTCCTTTGTGATTTTTTTTCACCTCCATTATGTTAATACTACCAGCTAGTCTCTGCAATCTGCACATCAAAAGTGCAGTCTTGTTTATCTTCAATCTCAAATCTCTCCTTTAATGCACGGCAACATGACATTTTATGCCCATTGAACTTTTAGTGTTTCTCTCTTATCTCACCTTATTTCCAGGGAAATGACTGTGATGTGTGTCTTTCTGAGGCAGCAAAATGTAGCAGGCAGAGGAGGAAGATGGAACTGAAACAGTGGAGAGAGGTGGGTGAAAGAGCAGGAGACAGTGTGTGAGTGCGAGAGAGAAAAGGGAGAGAGAGACAGAGGGAAAGAGAACATGTCAGTGTGCTATAAAAACAAGTGTCTAACAGCACAGAGGGAGAGAACGAGAGCAGGCAGCGTGTGGAGAGGCAGCGCAGAGGAACAGCTTTCAGTAGCTCAGACATCTGAGGATGCTGACAAACGCGCAGCTGCTGATGGGCAGGAGGAGACAGAAAATACAAGATTCTCACACTCCAGAGGACGGGCAGAGAGAGGAGACCACATCTTCAGTCCACCTCCACCATCACTGTGACTGGAATGGGAGGGAAGCACCATTTCTGCAGCAACAGACAGACGGTAAGTTCTCAATACATGCATCCGCAAGAATGAAAGTTAATCACCAGATTCGGTAAAAGGTCAGTGTAAACGGGGCTGTAATGTGTTTATGTTGAATTTGAAAAGAATTAGAAGGGGATGCACAGTGGTAATTGTTTGGAGGAATGTCATATTACCTAAAAACATCAGCCCCAACTCATACGTAAAATGAAGAAACACATGTGATAAGTGGCTTTTAACAAAATGCCTCAAGTTTGTCTGACCTTCAGCTTCTGTTCTCATCAGCAGCAACTCACAGCAGTATATTTATGTTTGTTGTGTTTTTTTGAATGACAATTTCTTTCAGATATATAAAGAAATATATTTATACCCATTTAAATCAATCTTGCAACTATCATTGTAACAGGCCTTACACCGAATAAAACCACAGAAATGCAATGCACTGTTGCTCTAACTTCACTTAAAAGGTTCCTAAATAAAATAAATCTAGAGAAAAAAATCTATAAAATACATACATTATAGTATGTGCATGTTTACAGTGTATCGTGCATCATTCCTTTCGCTTGTTTTGTAGAATACTGTAAATAAAAATATTGATTGAAAGATTTTCTGATTCGAATACCATGCAGAGAGGGTAGATGCTCTATGCAGTGTGTTTGTCTGGTGTGCTTCCAATCATTAATATCAATAAAGCAGGACACACCAAGACTGTCCCACAGACAGCACCAGTTATTTTAGCGAGTGCGAAGCCTTATGTGTTTATATGAAGTGATGATGTCCTCTAGTGGCCATGGTGTTTATGACAGAAGTCAGGTGATGTAGTACAAACAGTATTCTCTGTGTATCTTCCAACAAAATGCAACTTATCAGATCAGACACATTAGGACTCTGATGACAGCACGGTTAGTCTGCACAGTAAAGAATAAAGAGCTGTGAATTAAGTATTGTATTTCAGCTCCCCTTGTAAGGATGATAATTTACTGTCCTCAGCCTGAAGCACCTGTTTTGATTACATTTGTTGTCCTCTGAGAAGTCAGGTCATATTATAGACCAGTTTACAGCTTACAAACAGACAGACCTATAACAATGCTTTGTAGAATTAATATGTCCATTTCCAAGTTTGTTTGTTTTTTTCAATCACATGCCACCTTCAGTAGACACAATATCTCTGGCTGTGCTATCTGTGGACATCCTGATTGGGAGCGCTCTGCTCTGTTTTGTTGTAACCGCTTTGATTTAATAGTACTGCTGTTGCCCAGCAACTAAATGCTTCCATTGTTTACATGAGGGACCAGATGAGGCCTGTCCGACAAAGCAGGATTCAGTGGGGTTTCTTCAGGTTTGACCTTGGCTTTTCAGGGTTATGATGGTGGTTTGCTCTAAAATCACCATGGTAACTCCTGCTGCATACCTAATCTGCTCCAGAACAGGTTATGTTCAAGATAACAGATCAAGTACCACCTGCTGACCAATCAATTTTCTTGGAAATGCCATCACCATTACTAGAAGACCCTGAGGAGCCCAGGGTGTGAATAGTAAGAGGGTTGTTAGAAACCATTAAAAACCTTTCCCTTCCCTCCTATTGAGCATAACTATTTCAAAGCCATTTCATTTTTCTACAGGCCTTTGTTAAGCAATATAACGCTTTAACAGAGACTGATTGAAGCAATAATACCTCATAAGATTTGCAGCAACCCTGCTTACCAGTTGGAATCATGTTTCACTTAAGCATTCACAGTCTACATTCGCCAACTTTTCTTCTTGCTTTGGCGAGAGCAGCTGTGTTGCTTTAAGCCTGACTTATATCTTTTAATTGCTCATTGGTTTTGTTTTACTACTGTAAATATACTACCAATGCAAGTAGTTTTTCAGACTGTCTTAAGATTAAGGTTGTCTCTGCTAAGCTGTCAACCCCATGAGACACCATACACTCTGTTACCATTAGACTCCCAAGTTTTGACAACCAGAGCTGTCCTTTATGTCTTTTATCGTGTAGGGCTGCTGTCAGGTGTTGTTTGTCCAACAATGCATTATTTTGAGTGGATTTGCCATCAGATTCCGAATGGCTGGATTGAACTTCTTTAGGGGCAGCTGTGGCTCAGGTGATGGAGGAAACATCCATCCATATATAGAAACCAAACAAATCCAAAAATGACTTTCAAACCAAGCTCTTTGGTGCCAATGGGAAGGAAAAACTCCCCTTTAACATGAAAAGACCTGCAGCAAAACCAGGCTCAGGGAGAATGGAATAGAATAGAATAGAATAGAATAGAATAGAATAGAATAGAATAGAATAGAATAGAATAGAATATTTTTATTGTCAATTTCTCTATATACCCAGGAAGAGGAACTGAAAAGATATTTCTCTCTCACCTTTGTATGAATACCATACATTATTTGTTTTTTTAAAAGGGTCAAAATACGGTATAAATACTTTACTTTAGAACTTTTTCACCATTTCTTGTTGTAAGCGTATATAAAAGAAATGAACTAGGACCCAGAAAAAGGTTTTACATGATTGTTTTTAGCTTCCAGGAATGTGTGACATGGCTACAGTTATCAAAAACAGTGGTAGTACTAAGTCCTGTGTGTGTCATGTGACTAAAACAGACAGAAACAAAAACATGGAATCCCTAAAAGCACTGTTTTTGGCAGCATCATGCCATAGCTACTGATGTAAGAACTCAAGTGATTTTTGTTATTTGGAGCTAGATATCGGCTCTTAAATTAAACTATTATGAGCTGTTTTTATTGTTATCATTATATGTGTCCAAACAAATGTACCTTGAGTTGTATTGTGGATTTAAATGAACAATAAATAAAAGAAAACAAGAGGGGTCTAATAATTTTTTCCATGACTGTGCTTAACAAATTTATTAGATCACCACTCAATGTAAACTTTATGCCACAACTTCCCTTAATTAACAGCATTGATAATTACCAAAATATTTTTTAAAATGTTTCTGTAATGTTTAATACACCAGCATGAAGAAGCTCTTTAACCCAAATGATATTTTTAATGCTAAAATATAATTATTGTTATCTATTACTGTTATCTGTAATTTACTGTTTTACAAAAACAAATGAAAAAATAGTAAAGCACATTATTATATCTTGATTAAGATGTCAAATTATATTTATTTACTAGCATTCCTGAACAGAAGCATTTGTTTTATTGGTAAAATGTTATGCTTGATTAATTGCTGACTTTGAAAACTTTGAAAAGGTGAATTCAGTTTGAAATTCCTCATTCCTGTTCAAAATGGTAAAACGTCGAGTACGCATTCCAGCACTTCATGATGCTTTCATGCATCGTAGGTTTGCATTAAAGTGATGTTTCTGCTTTAGCTGCTCATCAGCTTCCAGTGACTGGAAGAAAAGAGCAACAAAGGCACAAACAAACAAATGTGCTTTAACACATATACAGTGCATCCAGAAATCATGCCTGATGCTTTAGAATTAAGATAAACTGCAAGAAACTTCTCTGTCTTTTTTCTCATGTTTTTCTGCTTTTGCGGGAAACCATGTTTTTCCCTGTATGGTGGCCGGGCTTACCCTGAGGAGATAAAGTGATGAGCTCAGACATTTGAAGGGGAGCTCGGAGTAGAGTGGCTCCTCCTGCATGTCAAAAGGAGCCAGCTGAGGTGGTGCAAGATTTGATTAAGATGCCTCCTGGGCACCTTTCTGTGGGGGCACATCAGCTGGGAGGAGACCCCAGGGTAGACCAGGAACTCACTGCATCGATCCCACATCTTATATGGCCCGGGAGCACCTCAGGATCCCCCAGGAGTAGCTGGAAAGCATTGCTGAGGAGAGAGACATTTGAAACTAGCTTGCAAACAACATGACCTTACCCAGGTTAAGCGAAAGAAAAAGGATGGATGAAAGCGAAACACACGATTGCTTCTGTGCTATTTTAAATACACTGAGCGATAACCAGTGTGACATGTATGAAGTCAAGAACATGATGTTTGGATCATAGATGCCAAGGTTGGACTTGGAGTTTTTCACTCCAGCAGTCTCTGGAGTTTTCTCAGTATTGTGAAAAACAAAAACCAGCAGTTCTGCTGAGAGAAACTGTGTGTTGAGAGAGGTCACAGGAGAATGGTCAGAATGGCTGGAGCTCAGAAAAACAGCTTAGATTGAACAGCATGCCCAAGCTGGAAGCAACTGTTTGAAACAACCTAAGATCACGAAGAAATCAGAGGCTGCAGTGGACTGACTCACCAAACCGGGACTGTTGACTGTTGTCAGTCGTGTCAACATGGACAGCAATTTTAAAAGAATGTTTCCAGAATTATGAGAAATCCATGACAAAGTCTGAGGCTGTTGGGAACCAAGGAAAGCCTGATAGTGGTTTGTGGTTAAGTGTTTGGTCAGCGGATCTTAAAAATACACAATAATGGTTTCACAAAACAAATGATGAGATGTGTTAATGGTCAGAATGTTTTTCACAGGACTACAATTTGCATAAACTTATTATTTTAGTCAAAAGGTAACAAACCATAATCAGGTGTCAAAGAGAGGACCTGGTCAGTTCTTTCAATTCCTTTCTGAATTTCACTGAAAAGACACTGAAAGAACTGACTAGAGTCAAATTGTTGGCATCTGATATTTCCAATTACTCTTACATATATTTAAGTCTCAAAAAACACTTACAGGACATTTACAAGCCATTTTTTTCTGTCAAAAGTTTCGTGTTTAACAATCTGCCTCCACATACTGTGATAGGTTGTGAGATTGTGGTTTGACTGAAGTAAATTAGTCATTAATTAAACTCTGCAGTGCATGTTGTTCATGAAGCTTTCACACTTGTATTTTCTCTGCACAGACGTTTGGTATAGCAGCATTTGTGTCAGAACCTTGACTTCTCAGTTCAACACTCAACAGTGTTTGTTTTCAGGAACATGGTCGAACAGGGGAGGAAAAACACGTTTTGTGTGTGGTGCTGTCTGAGAGGGGAGACCAGTACCTGTGTAGCTGCTTTGACAGCAAAGAAAAGGTTTAAGACACCTTGAGGG